TGGCTTAAGCACTAGTGGACCAAAAGAGCCAAAGTCCTTTTTTGCTCATCAGCCCGTGCCTGGGCAGAAACTTTCCCAGTAGAAGGAACTGCCCAGATCTGACCCATCCTCTGGGCAGGAGTGTTCCTATGTGATGGGCACCAGGACCTGCTCCTTGATGCATGTGGGAGCACTTTCAGAAAACTCAGTTTTGGGTGAAGTCTAACCAATTCTCTGTTTTGTGACCTTGGGAGGAAACAGAGGGATTTAAAGGTTTGGTCTGTAGATAGCCTTTAGGAAAGAGTCTTAGAGGTATTTTCCAACCTAAATGATTCTGTGATTCTGCCCCACCCCTTCCACCATCTCTTCTGCTTGCAGAAGCCCGCCTTGCTGCAGTTTCTTTGGACAGCTTTTTTATGTTTGTATATTCACTGGTTCTTTTTATGCCCTGCCACACACTGCAAGGACTCGCTGATGGTGGAGGGACAATAGGATGAAGTTCTAACCTGGAAATACCGTTCTAACCTGCCCCTCAGGCACCATGTAATTTCTGTAGTGGTGTCTATATCTAGGGAGCGGCTGAATGAGTACCTAAGGCCCATGTGGGAAAGCTTTTCCTCCCCTAAGGAGGTGTTTGGGTGCTCTGTCTGCTTCACTTGACTATTACCTACCTCCCTTCTGTGCTCCTGCACTCCCCCAGGCATCCTGTCACAACATTAACAGCTTCAACTCATGTCACAGCATCCAAGATTTGAAAGAAATATCTATTTATTTTTTAAAATTGATTTAGTACTCCTGTTTTTTCTTCTGTTCAGAGAAACCTTTGGCTCAGCCATTGTATAAAGTATGCCACCAAGTCACCTCCAGCTCAGTTAGCCCCACAGTCAGAGTATTGTCAAATTGGCAGTCCTAATTAGAGCAAGAGACTTGGGAAATATCTTGTGGATGTAAAATAGTTAATTGTGTCTAAATTGCATGGAGGAAGAAGAAAGTTGCATGCTTGGCAGGGCAACCTAACAGCTGAGCCAAGGCAGAGAATAGCTTAGTCCATGGATATCAGCATGGCTGCCTTCTTCATGTCCTATTCTGTTAACTCTGTGGGCTTGTTAAATCTTCATCTTCAATTTATTAGGAATGCAGGAGTTTTGTTTTGAGTAATGGACAAGAACAGGGAAATATTTTGCTAGGCTCCTGTTTAAGAGACCATTGTGTTAGAGCAAAAGAATAAATGCAGATCATGAGGTTTTTTTTAAAGCAGGGGTACAGGTGCTTCTTGCTTTGTCCACAAAAGGGAAAGTAATTAAGGAGAACTAGAGGAAACAATCATTGTATGTGTATGCTATTCCAGAATTTTCCATTTGAGGTAGTTAACATCTTTGTCTGAAATACTGAGTTTCACTTCTTGTCAGGAGGAGCAGCTGCTGGCCTGATCTGGTGTGTGATCTGATGATGATGCTTTTTTTCCCAAGAATCTGAGCGCAATGGTGCAAGTTCAAGGTGTTATTTTTCAAGTGGGGCTGTGGAAGAAAGACGCAATTCCAGCCGAGCTGAGGAGAGCATCAGAAATGCTGCTTTTTCTCACGAGTAGGTTCCCCTCCCCCCCCTTCCTTACACCTGCTATTTGTGCAACTTCTTTACTCCTTCCAGACTGAAAATATCTGTGAGGACAGGCGGTCACTAATACAGGAGATAAAATTATCATTCTTTTCAAGTCTCTCTCTATAGAGGAAAAGAAAGGAGAGAATCGTTTGAAGAAACATCGGCAGCAGTAGGCAGCTATGCAAATTTTCCCTGGTCTGTTTAAATGTACACATTGGTTTTAAATATAATTCTGAACTTATCCAGTCTACAAGGTCAAGAAACAGAGAAATGTACCCTGTACAGATTATTTCAGACACGAGGCAGCCTGTATACATTTTCACCTTCCCACTCGTACCGCAGCATCTTGCTGCTGCTATGTTTTTTATTCTCTTGGATTGTAAATAGGAAACAAAAGAACTGGGCATTTATTTTTTTTCCACACTATTGCAGATGGATAGATATAGATTGGAGCAGGTAAAATAATGCTGGACTTTGTGCTGAATTAGAAAAAACGTCATGTCAGTGTATTCTGTGCTTCTAACGTACAGAATCGTGGACTTCACAGGGCTGAAAGAAGAGTGAGAATGTGAAGTCTCTAAATGAGACTGGAAGGGCTTTTGCAAAAGGTCTGCTCTGGCACAAAGCAAAGCTTTGGTCTTGATGGAGAAAGGACACGATGAAATGGTTTGTCCTATGAAAAGAAGAGGTCAGACCAGATGAGCAGAGTGGTAACCTTGAATGCTAAAATGTGTGGCTTCTTTCTTTCACCTGACATTGATGATCTCACCAAAGTGGTAAGGGAGGATTTGGAAAAGTCATAGTTTTTCCTTTCTTTTATTTTTACAGCAAAATGATTGCTGTTGTTTGGTTTGCATCTTACTGCTCCAGCTCTGCCTTCCCTATCTTCCCCACGCATTCTGTATTTGTGGTTAATGCAGGACAGATGCTAAAACGGTGACGAGGGATTTCTTACTGGTTTTGCTTTTATAAGAAGAGAGGCATTTTAAACCCCTTATTTTTGTGAGTGGTATCTCTCAGCCTGCAAAGCACCACGGGAAAGGATTTCTAGAGAGTACATGAAACCATCTCCTATCATTGCCAGCCCCTGACTCTTCTCTAAATCTGCATCAAGGATCACCTTCCTTGACCTGCTGGCAGTATTTTGTCTAATTCAGCCAAGGATACCTCTCCCTTTCTTTCCAGCACAAACATGTTCAATCTGGTTCCCCAGGACCTACAAGTCCTTTTCTATCAAACCAGTTTCCATGTGGGTGTCCCCCAGCATATATTGGTGCGTGAGTTTGTACCTCCTAAGGTACAAGGCTTTGCACTTTTCCTTGCTGAACATGATGAGGTTCCTGTCAAGAGCTGGAGTAGCTGACAACACTGAGATGTGACAGATCGGGACTGCATCCAGCCCTTTGTCTGTGGTGTTTTTGGCTTTGCTGAGCATTTTTCCATCACTCTCATATCCACTCTGTGAAGCAGGATGACAGACTGAGGCTTGGAGACTGGCCCAAATTTGTCCTCACAGACCACAGGGAAGTGTCTTTCCAGGGGAAGAGGACAGTGAGTGTGTGCATGTGTGTTTAAGTACCTACCCAGGGAAGTGGGTGAACACCTTCCCAGAGGAGAACTGCTCTTTTTCCCTGGTTTTTGCTGTGTGATTGCAGAGTGCCAAAAGAAATCACCTGGGTGCACCGTGGCCTCCAGCAATTACTAGAAATTGGGCAGAGTTCGGGCAGAGCTGTCACAATGCTGTTACCATGCTCACTTGCTCTTTGAAATTGCTGGTTAAGAAAGATAAAGAACAGTTATGACTTCTGTCTTAAAGCTTGTAGCAGTTTTAGAGACAATTAGCAAAAAGAGAAGCACAGGGATTTCTTCTAGAAATTAGTAGTTCATACTGAGATCACTGTAGTCTCCCTTGACCTTGTTTAATACAGACAGTGCATACTCCTAATTGAATATCCTTGTAAGCTGCAGAAGCGTGAGGCATATTTGAAGCTCACATTTAAAGTTTACATTTCAAAAGTTAATAAAATGCTTCTATTTTTTACCTTTTCCCAGTGAATTTTTTATGTGCATTTTTGAGGTCATGTATAAATAGCCAGACACAAATGTTTGTGCTGTGCTGGTGGCGTACCATGGTATTTTGGACTGTTCTGATTCCTAAATGATGAACAATGGATTTACATTTGCGTGAATGTGGTATCTGTGTGGTAAATGACAAAGTCAAATCTTACATTATTTTTCTTCCTGAGGTTTTATTGTCTTCTCTGTTCCTTGCTCTGCATTTTATCTTCCCCAGGCTTCCCCTAACTTTCTAAGTCTCTGACTCCTATCAGACAGCAGGCATTTAAAACTAAACCTAGCTAAGACAGAAATGTTGTGTTTCCTTTCTCAGATATTAATATTTCCCCAATTTTCAGCTACTCAGCATTCATGCTAAATAAAAGTAAAATCTTCTCCTGAAGCCATTTCCTGTCTATAACTTGTTTGGTATTTTATCCACACTTCTCTATTAAAAAAAATGACATTACACCTTGCTAAACTGAATGTTGATCGTCTCCTTCAGTGTCCTTGGGGAGATGTTTCCTTCCTGCACATACCTGGATTTTCAGTTTTCCTGCTTAACACTGAGGTGCTACACTGCTTAAACCCCAGGCATTTTCTTTGCTACCACCCATCTACTCCATCCATTGGCACGTTCACGCCAGTTGTCACGTTGGGGTGTTTTTCCAGCAGGACTGATGTGATGAAACATTCCTGGGTTGGTGTTGCTGTCAGTAACAAACTCTGCTCACTGCTGAATGCTGCAGAAAAAGGTTCCCCTGGGACAGCCCAGTGTGTGGGTCTCAACCTGCAATTAAAGCAGCTGTTTATCATCAGTGTAATAGCTAGATGTATTTCTTAATGCCATTTAAAATCAAGTTCCTAATATGCCTTTAAAGGCTTAATGATTCCTTTTGTTTTAGTCTGAAGCAGAAACAGTGAAGACTTAAGGGTCACACTTTTGGGGGCTGCTCCAGTGGTCCTGAGTCAGTAGGAGCCTTTCCATAGCTGGAGAGGATTTTCCTCCAGCAGGATTTGCAGACCTGGGAGGCATTTGCTTTAAGTTCAGTGGCTGAGTTAGATTTCAGCAGCAGAGTTAAGTCCCCAGAAGACTGAAAGCACGATGTGATCCCTCTAATATAATGTCTCTAGCAGGCAGAGTAAAGCATGCAGTGATTTCGCTCACATTCACCCGTGTTTGCCTGGAAGGAGCAGTATTTCTACCTCTTTGTCAAGGTCTCTAAGCCCAGAGCCTGGAGCTGCTCCGTGCAGCAATGTAGAGAAACTGTTCAAGTCTGAGACTTCGTATCAGCGGACGCGAAGGAGATTTACTAGCGCTGAGTGAGTTCCGAGTACTTGTGACGTGGTTTCCTTCTCTCCCGCAGGCTGGACCAAGTTTGCTCGGCTGACACGGGCCCTGACGAACAGCCGGAGTGTGCTGCAGCAGCTGACCCCCATGAACAAGGCTGAGGTGGTGCACAAGCACTCCCGCTTAGCTGAAGTAAGTGGGATGGACACCAGCCTGCTCCCTTCCTAAAGCAGGAAGAGACTGGGGGGGAAAAAAACCCATCCTGATTCCCATTGATAAATACCGTTTTCAGAGGAAAATATTTCCCGACTCTGATTTTTTCAGCCTCTCCTCTGCTCATCCTAAAGCACCACTACGTGCCAAGGCCAAGTTTCTGGGACAGGTCACAGAAACATTCTCCATAGGTCGCTATTACTTACATGATCCTGTTTCTGTGCATGCAATCCTCCATTTTCTGGTTGTTCCTCAACTTTGAGTGCACAGTGTGCTGTTCCTCCATGTGGAACCAGGCTTGATGTCCTTGAGTCCTGTGGATGGTTGCTTAGTCTCCCAGGGAAATGGGATTGTTAGAGAAACCTCTCTGGAAGCATCCCTGTCTGGGTCCCTGGGGTTGTACAGGCACATGGACTGTGTACCTACCCCAGTCTCGACTTTCTTGCGAAGTCATTCCTGCAGTATTTTGCTCATCGTTTTTGTCATCAGAACTGATGAATGAACCTCTTTGGCAGGTTGCAAACATCTCCTTAACAGTGCAGATGGTGCAACAAGTGAATACCTTCAGGTTAACTGATGAAACAGAGGTACTGCCTTCATCTTCATGTCCATTGGTAATGAAAAATAAATGGGTCAAAAATATATGGTCAAAATATATGGGCTACTGAAAATGACAGCCCTAGTCAACTTGTGCCAGACAGTTTGTCCTTTGTTCGATGCTTAGAACTGGTTGCTGCTTTAAATATTTTTGTGGGTTTTTTTTTCATTGCCTTTCTAGTTTTATTGAACTTTGATAATACCAACTCAAATGTGAAGAGGAGCATTATCTCTGTAGCTCACCCCTTGCAGAGCACACTGCTCCCCTTTATCAGGCTTAACAGTTATCAGCCATTTACATTAGCTATACACAGGAATAATTCAGAGAGTCTGTGGTGAATGCAGCTGACTAACAAGATATTGTGTATTCTTTAGTGATTTAAAATTAAAAATTCATGCAGCATGAAAGAAATAATCATTATAGTTCAGTGGTCTCCACAGCCACTTGCCACCCACTCACCGTGTCAAACTCAGCATGATATTATGTTAAGAATAATAATTATGCTTTTACAGTATCATGGGAACTCCTAAGCACTCCACCATCAGAGGCACAGGGAACTATCAAGCATATGTTAATCGCATTCGGCTTGAGCCCTAAGTAGCTTATTATTCCAGCTATAGTGAGGATGTTTCCATCTCCTGCCCCAGTGAACAAGGCAGGGAACAAATAGATCTGGAGAAACCAAGGAGAGAAGTCCCAGGTCTGATTTATCATCAAAGTGTTGAACACTGATGGGTCCAAAGAGATAACTGAAGATAACGAAAAGATTATGAGGCAAAGCCAAAATGGCGTGTTTTGTGTAGGGGAAAATTTTGGCTTTGAAAGAACTTTCGTGGATTTTCACGAAGGCTGCTTTGAAAAAAAATGGCTGTATTGATCATTGCTTTATTTCCAGGGGAAAACCCACGGATCCACCAGTGAGTTCAGTGTGCCACAGTGGCCAGCTTTGCCTGTTGGGGTGGTTATAGGAGTGTAGAAGTGCTGTCAGTGAGTCTGTCCCAGTCCCTGGGGAGGGGACACCCAGAGGCTGATATTTTTATGGGTCTCACCAGGGGTTTGGCATCTGTGAGGATCTCTGACAAGTGCCAATGGGACTACACTGTTTGCTGTGTGTTGCCCTTCAGCTGGAGGTCAACACACGGCTTTGTGCTACAGTGGGGCTGGTGTTGGCAGTGGGAGCAGCCATGGGCTCCTGGGGGTCTCTTCTGCACTCCCACTGCTGCCTGAGTAGAGGTTCTTGTGCTTTTCTGGCCATGAGGTAAATTTATGCAATTGAACTGACTCTGCAGAAAACAAATGGCTAACTAATGTACCAAGTTAGTTTTTCGTTGTATCAACTTAACTGGCTTTCCTCGCAGATCGTGATTGCTAAATATGACCTTAGGGAGGGTGGGAATAGGTAGGCAGAAGCACGTTTGCATCTCTTCAGGGTACAGCCTGACTTGGCCCAGATGAGACAAGTTGGGAGGCCACATCCCCTGGCAAAGAATGAGAGAGGCTGCTGTTGTTGCCCCTTGGTGATTTCTGAAGAACAGATTTTCAGCAGAGCCAGACTTTTACTGTCTGTTTTCAGTAACAGCTTTCTCTTAAAAAACATCTAAAAAACAAGACTGCAAAGAATTAATGGAGAATCTGCATCTGTGGTACTTGAGTTCATATTCTTAGCAGTTGTACAGTTTATTCAGAGCCATTTACTCCTCTTCATCAAGGAAGCATCCAGCCTTTTATCAGTTTCACACGTATAAGACTGCTGTTTGCAATCCAGCTCTCCCTGGAAATACAGTACATCAGCTTGAATGTGGGACAGGTGTAGGGCTAAAAGGGGTTTTAAAGTTGCCATAATTATTTATTTTATCCTATAGAGACTTGAGATCCCCAAATGTAAAAGGTGTTATTAGTTCCAAAATACACGTGGATCTTTCAGTTGTCAGAGCAATATATATTGCCACGTGTGCATTCCTTTGTGCTTTTGTTTCTTGTGTTGGACTGAGATAAGAGGTAATTAGATCAACTGGGAGGAATGTCTTAAGTGAATTTGGCTTGGTTCCTTTGCAGTGTTTCCAGTTCCACATTTTCCAACAGTGAGCATACAGGAGATTATAGTCCTGTGCAAAAAATAAGAATTAATTACAGGAAATAAAAGAGAACCCTCTAGTGATATTGAGCTTGTAAGAGCAGCAACTTTTTGAAGAAAATAAGAAGGAAGCATAATATTGCCACCAGGGTGTTAGGGCAGGAGCTGTGCACACAAAATGCTTCATTTTAGGAGGTCAGCCAGCAAGGCTGGAATCTGGTTCACCTTTGATAGGGTGTTGCTCTGGCTCAACAGTGGTTTAAAAAAGAGGTCAGGCACAAAGAATTAGTCTTGTAATGCTTCCAGATATGAATGCTCATGTTTAGATTAAATGTTAGGAAGAAATCTTTTACTCTGAGGGTGGTGGGGCAGTCAAACTGGTTGCCCAGAGAAGTTGTAGATGCCCCACACCTGGAAGTGTTCAAGGCCAGGTTGAATGGGCCTTGGAGCAACTTGGTCTGGTCGTAGATTCCCTGTCCATTGCAGGAGGGTTGGAGATAGATGATCTTTAAGGTCCCTTCCAGCCTGAACTGTTCTATGATTCTATCTTCATAACGTGCAGAGCACAGCTGGTATGGCAGTACCCATAACCTGTCTGTGGAACCTCTCCTCCCTTGCTGTTGGCATGGTTTCCCCTCAGTCCACCTGCAGAGACCTCCACCTCCCTTTTTGCAGGAGTATCCTTAGATGCCGTGCTGCTGCTATTCATTGAGTGATAGCTGCCTCCACACATTCTAAATAAATCAGACAATTTAAAAACTGTGGGTTGACTCGCAGTGTCCAACGAACACAGTCCCGTCTTTGTTCTGCTCCTCACAGAAATCCGTAAGACCCCTTATTGGATCATATTTGTTGAGAACAGTAGCATTTGCTTCTCTGTCTTTTACAGGTTCTCCAGCTGGGATCTGATATTCTTCCTCAGTACAAGCAAGAAGCTCCAAAGACTCCACCACACATTATACTACACTATTGTGCTTTTAAGACCACTTGGGACTGGGTCATCTTAATTCTAACCTTCTACACAGCAATTATGGTTCCATATAACGTGTCCTTCAAGACAAAACAGAACAACATTGCCTGGCTCGTGCTGGACAGTGTCGTGGATGTTATTTTTCTGGTTGACATTGTTTTGAACTTTCACACGACCTTTGTTGGCCCCGGTGGAGAGGTTATATCTGATCCCAAACTCATACGGATGAACTACCTGAAAACGTGGTTTGTGATTGATCTTCTGTCCTGTTTACCATATGACATCATCAATGCCTTTGAGAATGTGGATGAGGTAAGTAATTTTAGTCTGTCTCAAAAGGATTGTTTTAATTAGGGATTAATTTAGAAGCATGTTCCCAGGCAGCTGGCAGCAAAAAGAGGCAACTCATGCTCTGTGCAAATAAGCAGGGATGGCCTTAAGCTGCTGGGCTTTACCTACAAGACATTCCTGTGTTGGAGAAGAGGTGTCTTATGATTTCAGTACCATGTGTGGGTGTTTATTTCAATGCTATGGGGTTTAGAATTGCTTGCTTCTCATCCAAAAGCATTGGTACAAGTCCATGTCAAAATGGGCTGGACCAGTCGGGATTGTGCCCTGTCAGAGCCTTCCTTTTCAGCTCGTACCCAGCAGTCCTACTCCATTGCAGGGCTTGATGTAAACAATTACAATTCTGTATCTGCTCTGGCTGAAGCTGGTGGCAAATTTGCCATTGACTTATACAAAACCAGAATGGCTCTGAATGAGCATTTTTTAAATTCTGCCCTTGAACAAGGCTGTAATTATTTTTTTAAAATCTGATTTCACTTTAAATGTCTGATTTGGAGGGAGATGCATTTCTGGTTTGGTTTTTATTGTTTTTTCTTTTTTTAAACGGTTCTTCAGCTACTGCTGGAATTTTAGAAACTGTTTGAGGAGAGAAAACATAAATATCTTAAATGGATGCTGAATTAAAGCTTTTTAACTGCTAAATGTGTTAACATTTATGAAATCGAGCTTGCAGCCTGAGCTAATAGAGAATACAATAACTACGACAAATAATGCATGCACGACTCAGTGTAGAGAAATTCATTATTAAAATGCAACTATAATGGCATTAGGACTTGTTTTAATTTTTCTCTAGAGCCTTTTATCTTTAGGGCCACAAACAGATGAAAAAGCCACTGATATTTTTTAACATCGTAACAGTTTTTTCTCAGAACAACGTTTAGTGTTTTGTTTGTTTGTTTGTTTTTGTAATTCTCAAATTCAGCAGTTATATATCCTCACTATATGAAATCTACATTCTTATTTTTTAATGCAGAATTTGCTGTAAATTTTGTAGAGCTCCTTTAAAATTCCATTCCTGTCTCTGTGCTGAGTACCATCTTTTGACATTGTTCCATTTTATTTATAGCAAATATGACAGAAGTGATAATACTTGCAGCTTAAATTCAACATCATATGAGGGCTGCCCATCTGAAAGCAGGTTGTACAGTCAGGCTGGGTAAGAAGGTGGTATTATAAAGGTTGTAAAGATAATACAGATTTATTAGATAACCAATTTGAGACTCAGAGGAACTTTATTTTTATAAAAACACAGTGTTATCTCCAGTTTTTTGTTCTTTAATTTGTAAAACAAACAGAAAATTTCTATGCCCAAGCAATACAGATTTAAATGGTGAGCTTAACCTCTTCCTCTAACATATAGGTGGGAAAGAAACCATCTGCAGTATTTGTGACAGGGAAGAGAATCACTGGCATAGTGCATTATAACTGAGATACACTTGAAGTGGCAAACTTTAACCAAAACGTAATAACAATAGCAAGATATCATGGTCTCCAGTGATCCTAGAGCTGCTGTTATCTGCCTTCAAACAAATGAGATATTAACTACTTTTTGATAAGAGAACCAAGAGTAACATTTGTGTGTCATGAAACAGTGTGTTACGGCTTTGCAGCCTCCAGCAGACACTGGCTTTTAACTGCTTATGTCCTTGATTTCAAACCCCACCAACTCCAGTTTTCCCTAGTGCCTGAAAAGAATTGATTTTGAAACAGGTACGTAAACAGCCAGTCTTTCATCCTTGGGTCAAAATTTCCCCTTTTCCCTGTCTTCCAAAGGAGTTTTTTTATTTTTATTTTTTGGTGATAGGTTTTAATTTGTGACATTTAAGACTTTTGAGCTGGTTGGTGTGCTCTGGGTGTTTGTAGTTATTAATGCTCTATATCTTAATTTGGTTTTTAACATTTATTTTAACTGGTACTTATTGTCTGGGATTTAAATTTCTGGCCTCCCCAGCAGCAGTGTGTTCATACACTGTTCATAGGTCAAGAATAAGGAAATTGATAATCTTAATTTGGAAGAGATGCTCTGATTAAAAAGGAGAGTTTCTCATTAGAAGCTGGGCATACCCTTCTTAAAGCAAGCAGAAGAAAGAGTTCTTTTAGCTCTTGGTTTTGGTAGGTTTTAGCTCTCTATCTTGGCCCTGGGTGTTAGGTAAGGACATCTATAGCATTCAAATCGGTGATTGTGGCATTTCAGATAAAGTTACAGAAAATCAGAGTTTAGCAGTAAAGAACTTGGGGTCAGGTCCTGGCGCTCTGAGTTTTTGTTGTGGTGTTGAGGGATGGACCCAAATCAGAGACAATAGCCCTAAAAGCCAGCTGAGTGGAAGGAGACTTTCCAAATTTCCCTAATTTATCCCATCTCCATCCTTCATTTTTCCATATAAAGCATCAAATGTTGGGTTTTTTTGAGTTGTTAAGGGACTAGATGAAAAGGGGGGAATACCATTACAGGGGATTTCTTTTCCTCCCTATGGGCAGACCTCTTGTAAGGAAGGATACAGCCAAGGAAGTTTGGGTTTGTATCTCTCCGTTGTAGATGCAGACTGCTCTGTGTCATACAGGTGCTTGAAGTGGATTAAGATGCCTTGAGCACCAGAGTGCTATTCATAATGCCAAAATTAAGGAGAAAAAACCCAAAGATTAAAAAAACCCTGGAATTTGAAAAAAGGAAATGTATGCTTTTTTACTGAGGGTTGTAATTCTTCGAATGCAGCCAGTCTGGGCCAGAATAAGAACAATGTCATTTCCATCATGGTGTTGTTTCCATCAAGGACAACGTTAGGCCAAGGCTGGATTCTTGTGAAATTCCCACCTGAGGCAAACATGACTGCAAATCAAACTTATTTTGTTGTTCAGTGGATGTCAGAGCCTTGGCAGGAGGATTTGATGGAAAGGATTGTGGCACACAAATTGAGAAGTGGCAGGTATTAAGATGATTTGAGGCAGAATTAGAGGTGTAGGTTTCCAGGCCTGGAGTTACAAAGCTGGGCTATTGGAGTGTGCTCAGTGGGTTTGGGATGTGTGACAAGGAGGGGGAAAGGCAAGATAATGAGATATACCTTGCACAGCAGAGAGTGATATCTAAGTTGATGTGATGGACGAGGAATTAAGTGGCTAAGTGGTATTGAAAGGGTAGGAGAACAAGGTAAAATAGACTGGAGAAAAATGAGCTACGAGAGTGAAAATGGAATCCTTAGTGGGATACTTACTTTATTTAGGAGAATTGGTGGGATGATAGTCCTAGAAATCAGAAAAATGCATGACATCTCTTCTAATTGAGAAGCATTACCTGTACTGAAATACATTCTGGCTAAAACAAAGCCATACAGAAAACCTTTCATATATAGAAGTGTGAGAGGGGACACTATAATACATAGTGAGGAGTCCAGCCAATTTTCAAGGTATGAACCAGAATGGAGACTGTGTGCTCAAAATCTCTGAAACTAGGTTGGTTTTTATTTATTTTTAAGTAAAAGAGTTCTCTGAAACTTCATATTTAATCCAGAAGTGACTGTCTGTCTGTTTTTTACTTAAAAAAAAAAAAAAAAAAGGAAAAAAGACACAAGATTTTGGAGTAATGGGTTTTGGTAATGGTGTTTGGATCCAAAGATTTCAGTCCCATGTCAGTCTGGGCTGCCAAAAGCCATTTTTTTCATATAAGTCCCAATTACCAGAATCACATTTTGCTGAAATTGCCAGAAAATGAGTTTACAGTGTGCCTGTGGACGCTGATCAGATATGGTCAAATCATGCTACAACTCCCTTTGGGACCAAATACATCAGTTTGCATCAGGAAAACAGGATGTTGTGCAGGTGTTTGGCTCTTGTCCTCACATGGAGCCATGCAATTGGGAGAGTTCCTGGAGCTGGAAGGACCTCAGGTACCCACACTCAGGTACAGACACGCTGGTACAGTGCTGCTGAGCACTGCTTTTGAGCTTCTGTACATAAATATATTAAGTAAATATTCTCCACCATAGGTGGATGGACAAGCTTTTGGCCAAATGGAAAATGCTTTCACAAATGAAGTATTAAATTCAGCTGAAAAAGCCTCTTTTACTACTTGGAAACACATAATTTTGTTTTGTGTTTTTGTTTTTGTCTGGTTTTTTTTCCCCCTGAATTTTTACTGAGATTTATGAATTTCTGAGTTTGTCATGAAACAAAACCTAAAAGCTTGTTCTCATCTCTACCAGAAATGTGGTCATAAAATAGCATGTCACATGCTGTGAAGAATGGATGTCAGGGTGGTACATACAGATAACCAAATAGATGGTTTTCAAATGAGTTGTATAAAATATCATCCTTTCTGCAAAAATTACTTTTTGTGAGCCAACGGCTGGAAGTGGAAGTTAGAGAAATTTAAATGACCTAAAACCAAAGTTCTCTGCCTGTTGTTTAATAATTTAAGATTGCATGACCCAGTAGCCTTTAAAATTTAGTCATCTTTGCAAGGCATATTAAGGCATAGGGTTCTTTTGGTTGTAATTTTCTTTTAATTATTATAATCGATCTATTTCAGCAGTGGCAGAAACTTCTTTGTATCTCTGCAATTAATAGCAACCAAAATAGCAATGTCTGTAAATTGAAAGCAAATAAAAGCTGATACAGCTACTGTAGCCATACTCACATCTGCAGTGCTTTACTGCAAACATTCCCTTTTCAGGAGGTATTTGAAGGAGGGTTTAAGGGCCCCAGAGTGAGTGGCATATGCAAGGTGAAGATAAATTGATGTGTTTCAATAATGTGGCTTTGGCTCTGAAATACAGTCCCTGGCTTGCTACCTTTTTGAAATCTAGGTGGCTGACATGGACAAAATAATTCCCAGAACTAAATCCCAGCTGGAGCCAAGCATTAAACTATGGTGAAAACTCTTAGCAATGTAACAACAGAGGCACTGAGCCTAGGACCTGGCATTTTCCCCTTTGTTATGCTGTCAGAAGACAATTAAATATGAAGGATAC